CCCCAGGGGGGCTACATGGTGGCCCATAGTAATCTGTGTAGCCCAGAGGCCCCAGGGGGCTACACAGATACTGTAAGGCCCCCTGACCCCATACACACGGACACCCTGGGAGGCTACATAGAAGAGACCCATAGGGACTCTATCTCATGCGAACGGAGGCCCTGGGGGGAGGCTGCAAAAAGGCCAATAGGGTCCCCTGACCCCATGTGCACAGAGACCCCTGGAAGCTGCATGAAGGCTTGTACAGTCCCTGCAGCACCATGTGCATGCTGGACCTGGAGGGTCACACAGAAGCCCATATGGTCGTGGGGGGCCAGTGAGGACAGAGGTCCCAGGAGGCTGCACAAAGGCCCATAGCACCCCCACAGGCCTGTGAGGAAGGAAGCCCCTGTGGGAACACAAGAAGGCCAATAGGGCCCCCCGGCCTCATGTGGTGCATGGAGGCCCCAGGTGTCCAAACAGAGGCCCAGAGGGCTCCTGCTGGCCATTGTGCAAGGAAGCCCTACATGGCCCAACAAAAGCCAGTACCGCCTCCCGAGGGCCTGCATGAATGCCCTAGACCCCAGGGCCTGCATGAATGCCCACAGGAGGCTCTGGGGGCCTGTATGAAGGCTGGTTGTGCCACCTATCCCATGCACATGGAGACACCAGGGGCCTGGATGAAGGTCCATATGGCCCCCCAGGGCCTCAAGCACATGGAGACCAGAGCAGGGGCACATGAAGGCCCATAGGCCCCCTTGGGCCCTTGCACATGGCGGCCCAGGGTGGGAAGCACAAAAGTCCATAGGGTTCCCCCGGCCTCTAGGCATGGAGGCCTCGAGGTGGGGGGGGAAGTGGGGGCACATGAAGGCTTGCAGGATCCTGCCATGCCCATGCAAAGGGAGGCCCCGGATAGCCACATGAAGACTCGTAGGGCCCCCATGACCTCTAGGCACAATGGCCTCAATGGACTGCACAAGATCCTGTAGAGCCCCCCTGGTCCTGTACGCATGGAGACCCTGGGTGGAGGGGCGGGCACACAAAAGTCCGTAGGAGCCTCCTACAGCCTGTGTGAAAGGAGGCCCCAGAGAGTCACATGAAGGCCTGTACAGCCCCAAGGGCTAGTACGGATAGAGGTTCCCAGGGGACCACACAAAGACCAGTCGGGGCCCACTGGGCCATTTGCATGGAGGACCCCAAGGGGTCACATAAAGGCCCATAAGGCCTCGCACAGCCCAAGAGCAAGGAAGCCTCGGGGGTCCATACAAAGGCCCATATGACTACCGCCGGCCATGCACACAGGGGCCTTTGGGGGGGCACACGAAATCTCCTAAGGCCCTTTCAATCACATGCGCACAGGAGCCCCAGAAGGGCCACATGAAGATCCATCCGATCCCCCTGGCTGAGTGTGGTCGGAGGCATAAGGGGGCAACACAAAGGCCCACAGGGCCCTCTCAGTCCATGTGCACAGAGACCCCGGGGGAACCAAATGAAGGCTCGTTGGGTCCCCCCAGCCCTGTATGCACGGAGGTCCCAGGGGGTTACACGAATGTCCATAGGGGGCACCCAGCCCCGTGCACACAGAGGCCACAGGGGAGTGTATAATCAGCCAGAGGGCCCCGCTGGCCTTATGCATACAGAGGTCCCAGGGGGCTGCATGAAGGTCTGGAGGGCCTCCTGGCTCTGTGCATGTGGAGGTCCTGGCGGGCTGCACAAAGGCCCGTAGGGCTCACAAAGGCCCTGGGCCCATGCACATGGAGGCTCTCAGAGGCCACATGGAGACTTGTAGGACCCCTGGGGGCTTGTGCACACTGAGGTCCTGGGAGGCCGCACTTTAAGGACTTTCCAGCCTCATGCGCATGGAGGCAACAGTGGGCCGCAAGAAGGCGGTAAAGTCCAACCAGTCCAAAGCGCACATAGGCCCTGGGAGGCCACATGAAAGCCCATAGGAGCCTCCAGGCCCCGTGTGCATGGAGACAAGGGGGGGCCACACTAATACCCGTAGAGACCCTTCAGCACCCTATACAAGGAGGCCCCAGTGGTCCCCACAAAGGCTCATAGGGCTCCCCCCATCTCATGTGCAAAGAGGCCCCCGAAGGCTGCACAGAGGCTCATAGGACCCTGCGGGGGCCTTGTGCACTGAGGCTCTGAGAGGCCTTGTGAAAGCCCATATGGCCCCACCGATGTATCTTCACAGAGGCCCCAGGTGGCTGCACAAAGGCCCATCAGGCTCCCCTTTCAGGTGTGCATGGAGGCCCTGGTGGGCCGCTCAAAGGCGCATAGGAGCCTCTTCACTTCCATCTCACCAAGGCTCTGTGGGGCCGCATGAAGGTCCGTATGGCTCCCCAGGAGCCGTAGGGCTCCACCCTCCCTATGTGTGTACGGAGGCTCCAGAAGGCCACATGAATATCTGTAGGGGGCACCCAACCCCATGCACATGGAGGCCCCCGGGGGAGCATAGAATCGCTCATAGGGCCTCCTCGGCCTTGTGCGCACAGAGGTCCCATTCCCACATGAATGTTCGTAGGACCTCGCAATATCATATGCACGGAAGTCCTACGGGTCTGCATGAAGGCTTGTAGGGCTCCCCTCGGACATGGCGGCCATGAGGGGCTGCATGAAAGCCCATAGGGATCCCCATGTGCTGTGTTCACGGAGGCCCTGGGGTGCCATAGGCCCCCATAGGGCTCCCATAAGGACCCCCCCACCCAGTGTGCATGGAGGCCCTGGMGTGTCATATGAAGGCCAGTATGGCCCACAGGGTCCATTCTCAAGGAGAGACCTCAGGGACCTTCTGGAAGGCCTATAAGGCCTCATCAAGCCCACGCGCACAGAGAGCCTGGGGAGGCGCACCAAGACCCGTAGAGTTCACCCGATCCTGTGCAAATGGAGGCCCTGAGGGGATGCATGAATCTCTATCAGGCACCTTTGGGCCACTGTGGATGGAGGCCCTGGGGAAATGCACGAAATCCTGTAGTGAATCCCCATCCCCCTGCACAAGGAGGCCACGGGAGGCTGCACCAAGTCCCATAGTGTCTCGTCATCCCCATGTGCACAGAGGCCTCTGGGAGGATGCCACATGAAAGCCTATAGAGCACCCCTGACCTCATAAGCACAGAAGACCTGGGGAACTGCAAGAAGGCTTATAAGGACCTCCTACCCCAGTACCCACAAAGGCCCCAGGGGGCTGATCAAAAGCCCATAAATCCCTTCTGGCCCCATATGCATGGAGACATTGGGGAGCCGCATGAAGGCCCATGGGACCACCCAGACCCCATGTGAACGAACGGTCCACATGAAGGCCCGTATGGCCACCCGGCCTCATGAACATGAAGGAGACCAGGTAGACCGCCAGAAGGCCTCTATGGCCTCCCGGCCTCCCATCTCTTTGTGCATGGAGGCCTTGAAGGTCTGCATGAAGGCCCGTATGGTCCCTTTGGCCCCATGTGTACAGAGGCCCCTTGGGGCTGCACAAAGCCTTGTAGGGGCCCCTGACCTAGTGCTCACAGAGGCCCATAGGGCTGCACAAAAGTCCATAGGACACCCTGGTGTTGTGCATGTGGACGCTGCTGGATGCTACGCAAAGGCTGGTAGGGCACCCTCAGCCTTGTGTGCATGAAGGCCACAGGAGGACACATGAAGGCACCTATAGCCCCCTGTCTCTTTGTGCATGGAGGCTGCTGGATGCTGCACAAAGGCCCCTATGGCTCCCCGGAGGCCTGAGGGGTCTGCACGAAGGCTTGTAGGACAACCCCAGCTCCACGTGCATGGAGGCCCAGGGGTCACACAAAGGCCCCTATGGCCTCCCATTCCCTGTGTGCACGGAGGCCCCGGGGGGCTGCACAAAGTCCCATAGGGTCCCCCCAACCCCACTGTGCATGGAGGCTCTGGGGGCTCAAAATGAGCACCTGGGAGACAGCAAATTTTCTGTGATGCTGAAGATGCTTAAGAAAATTAAGTTGCCTTTGCCCTTAATGAGATCCTAGAAAGACAGTGCTCCACATTACCTATTAACTATCACTTAACATGATACAGATGGTTAACTGCTCAATATTAATGCTACAGCAATTAGGCATCTCTTCTTCATCAAATTGCCAGTGTCATATGGTTGTTTTGCTGTTCTGCTCACTTRTGTTTCTTTCTCCACTTGCTACCTCTGCTCAGGCACTTATTCAAGGCAATTACTGCCAATACACAGTGACGCTGGCGTGTGCAGTGACCTAGCACAATGTGCAACAACAGGGCATAGCATCTTCCAAGCTTTTACACTGGTCCTAATTAAACACAAGTAAACAGTCATAATTAAAAATGAGTAGGCACAGTAATCTATAACAGCAGATTCAATTTCAGTCCTCTCAAGCGTGGCCGGAGGTGTTTTTCCATGCTGGTTTGCCTGGACGTGGGTACATGGATGTTCCCAGAGGCTGCAAACAAGGACTTAAGAGTTACTTTGTTTGCTGTTCTCTGTCATACGAGCTACGATACGTTTTTACCTTATCAGAAGTCTGCACTGCTTTATGTCCAAGGGAAACAGGACAAATGGTTAGGGCTCAGCATTGCGCGAAATGCGCTTCCCTGGCTAGATAATTAGCACTTTCCAATCTCGAATTGCAGAAAATAAGACAAAGAGTCTTTTTATTGCCTTATCACTGGTTTTATTTAAATGCTGAATAAAATAAAGAGGTATTACTACTGTCACAGAACAAAACCAGCTTTGTTTAACCACCATGTACAGATGAAAATAAAGGACAGTAGGGCCTAGTTTACCAAGCCTTTTTTTTTTTTTTTTTCCTATTCCTTCTCCAAAACCTGCTTGCAGTTTGATCTACAAACTGTTTTAACTGTCTTGGAGAACCTAAATTTAGAGTAATATTAAGTACTATATTAGGTTCTGTCTGCCATTCAGCCACCAGCATACAAGGTAGAAACGGAAGAAAAAAAATATGGCTGTTTCTCTGTTTCTTGATTTTCTTATGGATGTTTCCTTTGGTGTGCCATAAAAGAAAAGAATTTTAAAGATAGATATACAAAAGCTATTGTGCTTAACTCAGCGGCATATGTACACATTAAAACTGGAACGGTATAAAGATTAAAAAGGTATTCTAGTAGAAAATGCAATATATAATGTTTAATATAAAAGGGTTTCTGACATATAAAATTGGACCTAATATATAGAACAGAGTGTTTCAATGCCCCTGAAGCAATGCATTATTCGGAGAAATGGTCACACCGGCAAACGCCTGCGGTGTAGATCAAGTTTGCACCAGGTCTTGGAACAAAGCCCTTTACATCGGTCTCGCTGCTAGTGTCTAAACATAGTATCCCAACCCCAACCCCAAATCCCAAATATCCATACAGCTGAGTGTCTCCTCATACCAGCAAAAGGGTAGCTAGGGCAGGCTAAAGCTCACTGCCTGCAGTACTCGCTGGTTATGTTTGGAAGAGGGTAGGCAAACAGGGAGAAATCCAGAATGTATTTGGGCAGCAGTTCTTTTATGAGCCGGCGCTGCGTATTGCACAGATAGTAGTGCAGTGTCTCTGCCGTCACAGGCTTGTACCACGACTGTCTTTCCGGGAAGCGGATGAAGGAGGGCGACCGCACTTGCTCCAGCACGTAGTTGGCATCTGCGTTGAGCCTCTCGTAGGAGCCGATGAAATCGTAGCGCACAGCGCAGGGCTGGCACAAGTTGTAGATGGGCATCCAGTGCTCGTTCATTCGCTCAGTCTCCTCGTCCAGCAGGTAGTGCAGGAACTCGGAGAAGGTCACGTCGTCGCCCACCGACGGCACGCCATTCTTCCGGTACCGCTTCACTATCTCCACGCCATACTTGAGCTGATACTCCTTGATTTCTCCGAATTTATTCCGGTAGGCTGACAGCAGGCGCTCCATGGGGTTTCGTACAAAGAGGAACTTGTAGTAGTTCTTCAGCCGGTAGCGTATCTCGTCGGGCTTCATGTCACCTAGGAAGACCAGGTCGCTCTTGTGGTCCATCTTGAGCTTGACGTCGACGCTCTCCAGGGCGCCGCCAAGCACCTTGAGGATGCGCTTCCAGTTGGAGCAGGCCACCTTGGGCACGTAGCAGTAGAGGAAGCGGTACTTGTCGCTGACCAGCAGGTGCTTGAGGACCGTCCGGCGCTGGCTGGGTGTCAGGTCCCACACGCTGCGGGGCATGGCCCGCTGCCCGCATACAGCGCTGATGGTGCGGTTGCGGGTGTCCTGCAGCACCTGCTGCTCCAGGTCGTCATGGCCGGCCGCAACATGCCGTCGCGGTGTCTCGCCGCCTGCCGCCGCCGGCTGCAGCGGCCTCACCTCAGCCAGGATGCCCCTCTCGATCATGAGCAGCAGCCCGCTGGAGGCCAGGATCACGGCGAACATGAGCATGGAGGGCAGCAGCACCGCACCGCCCCCGCCGCCACCCCGCCGCCGCGCACGGGCGC